CCTGACGGAGCGACGAGAGCATAAAGACATCAAATCGGGCGATCACTGGCATGCGAGGGCTTTCCCCCTTACCAAACTTCCATAACGCATAATGGCAGAGACCTTCCAGGACAAGGAAGACCTTGTGTTCCCATCCCGAGACTTTCTAAATTATATCCTACCGGATATTCACAACGCATGAAGCATCATCACCATCATCATCAAAAATAGCAGATTGCCTTGTATGTATTATCCAGGGTTTCCGAACCGGGGAATCTGGGATAAGGAAGCCTACCCTGGCCGCAAGTATCACGGAGCAAATAAATAAATAAATAAAAATACGCTGTCATGTGATCACGCTTGATTGAAACAAACCCTGGATGTCGGTAACTTGACTTGCTTCTGCAATGCGCGCATCGCCCCACACACATATGTATAGATGGGTACAATTGAAAGGTTCAAAAATGCAGGTAGCCACTTTTTCCTCCCCCTCCTCCTCCTGCTCCTCCGCTGCAGGAATTACCACTTCCGTTGCCGTTGTTGGTATGATACAGCCTCACTTTGCGGTCGTTCCGTTCTTGATGGTGGATATGCTGCTGTGCACGGGAATACCGGTACTATACTGAAAAAAATGAAAAAAAAAAATCAAATGAAAAAATGAACCATTGTAACCTCCCATTCAGACTCACAAACATACGCGCCCAACACCAACCCTGGCCCGCCCAAAACCCGTGTCATGGAGAGTTAATGCGCGACAGGGGAGATACACTCCGGTACGGCACATTCTACTGTAGTATGATACTGTACATACCCCAACTCGGAAAACCATCATCCCCCCGCGAAAAAGTGAATAAATCCTATCGTACGACGGGAATTCCAGGCCGTACCGGATTCCGCCGCGGCGCAAACGTAGTTGGTAGCCAATCCCTCCTTCCTTCCTTCTTTCCTTCCCACCTCTATTGCACTACAGGAAATCAGACCCTGAGTGAGATCCCGTGACGGCTCGCGGTGGATCCGCCCGGTGTCTTGGGATACGATAGAGCACGGTACGGTACGGTACGGTGCTCGCTCGCCTGCTTGTACACACCTTCCATAGTGCACTCGTCATACCCTCTTAGCCCCGTGAACAGCCGAAAAATCGGAAAACCACGCTGATGGCAATATAGTGTACTCGCGTATGTCAAGCACCTCATATAAAGAGAGAGAGAGAGGGAGAAAAAGTCATTGACAGACAGACAGAAAACTGGTTTATCCTAATCACAGGATATCACTCGAGTGGTTGTGCAGGAGAAGAACCTAGAGAAAGGAGAGAGAGGGAAGGGAAGGGAAGATGCTTGAAGAACTGCAGTCTAGAGGAAATGTAATTTAGGATATCATAGTTGCTGCCGTATGATTTTTGTTCCTGTCCGGACTGTACGATGCAACGATCCCCCCCCCTATCATTGTCCGGATGAAGCTTTTACCGAGTGATCCTTTGTGAATAATGTAGTTTGTCGCTGGGGTGATGGGAATGGTGTTTGTTTGTTTGTTTGTGGTGATGCTGGTAGAGGTGGGTTGGAGGTGGGTGGGGACCTGTTTGTTTCCTCTCCATTTGCGCTACTGTACTGTATGTACCCGCCCGCCCGTCCGTCCGCCCGTTCGCCGATCCGCTGTTTGCGAGGCGCACGATAGGGGGGAGGCAGGTAGACGGGAATGTATGTATGTAAGCAAAAGCAGGGCAGTAAAGGGGGAAAAAAAAAACACTTCGCGATGATGGATGGAAGTGATGCACGGTCTATACCGGTAAATCATCTCGAGCTTCCCAACTCTCCAGACTTCACCGCCTCTTCCATTCAACCTTTCTCCCTTCTTTTCAGGTGTTGTTTCATTAATAGCATTATAGCAGTACCACTCACTCACTCACTCGTCAGCGTAACGTAACTGTAGATACCAAGCATGAGTACAGTATTTGTTATATCAGGGTACGGTAATCCCCAGCCAGTCGGCCAGTCGATCGATGAGTAACCAACCATGACAAGAACTCACGTCCATACTCGTAGTCCCTCCCTCCCTTTTTTCTCACCGGTCGGTCGGTCGGTCGGTCGGTCGGCGCAGCAAACATCACGAACCACCGCACGATATGATACAATGGTACTGTACTGTACCCGACGGCCGTACAAGTAGTATCGATAATCATAGTCTACCGTATCACACATAGATACCGACGGCCCGGTTCCGAATGACAAATGATAATAATCCTCTACCAGTAACTGTACTGTACCGAATCGAGGGAGGTGGCAGGACAGGAGAGTAACTTAACAGCGCAACACAACAAAGCAAAGCAAAGCAAAGCATCCGGTAACATTGTGATATATATAGAAAAAAAAAAAAAAAAAATTGGAAAGCGGTGGTATACGAGCTTGTAATAGATTACGAGTAGACTAATCCCGGGTAATAACGAACAAACAAACGAACAAGCATTCAAAAAAAAAAAAAAAAAAAAAGGACAATATCGTATCGTATCGTATCGTATCGTGTACAATAGTGGGTGATACGGTAACCATACTCGCATAAATAAATAAATAAATAAGACTATACTATACTAGTCTAGACTAACTTGGACTTACGCATCCATCCAACAAAGGGAAAGAAGAAGGAAAAAAAATAAAAAAAATGACATGTAACCAACTTCCCAGTTACTACACACACCAATCGCCATCATGGATTGTACCTACCTACCAACCTACCAACCTACCTGTAGAGTACGGTACGGAACAGTACTTGTACCCATCACTCGTACCAAACCACCGGGCCAAACACCCTACGGTATATCGAGTCCAAAGCGGTGTGTGCTGGGCCGGGCGATCGGGAGTACCGTACTGTACAGTACGGCGCAGTACCGGTACCGTATACGCCGCGCCACGGGGATTGGGGGCGAAGATTGAATGGATGGATGGGTGGGTGTTAAGGGTTGGGGTCGAGTAATTATGGGTGGGGTGGGTGAATGAATGAATGAATGAGGGGGTAAAGTAAAGTTAGTGGTATCGTGCGGGATGGAAAGGGAAAAAAAAAAAAAAAAAAAAAAGAGGTATATAAGCAAGGTAGCGTTATGTAGTACGAGTATCATACAGTGCCGCATTGAGAGGGTGCATATGGTACGGCGGTTGCGAGTACGGTGCTGTGCTGTGCTGTACTGCACTGCACTGCACTACACTGCACTGTACTCGCTAGTAGGGGAAGGTGGGTAGGTAGGTAGGTATATCGTATCGCACCGTATCCTATCCTATCGCGCTGATGGAGGACTGGTTTGGACGGTGTTTCGTCGGAAGATATAAGTTCTGGCCGTGCACACCTACATACGCCTACCGCAGTAACCAACGGGTTGGGAGGAGAGGGGAGGGGGATGAGGAGGGGGTGCGGTGGGGAGGTTGGGAACCGGAAATGGTCAATGATACTATGGCTCGAAAAGCACCAACGAGGTATAGTAGATGTCCGGTTTGTAAAAATAGGTACAGTATTGTATGTACTCCATCGCCAATCTAGCTGGCCGCCTAACCTATCCCCCAGCATCAAGCCGATGTCGATGCCGACGCAACCACCTCCACCTTCCCAGAGCGAGAACCCTGGAAAAAATGAAAAAAATGAAAAAAAAGTGATAATACTGATAATAATAATAATAATATTAGGCTATCATAAAGACATCGTACGGAACCGGGTGGAGCACTATACAGCACTGCTAAACTTGACCATCATCATAAAAAGTACAGTAATATCTGGAATACCCGCAGCAAGTACTGTACTGTACAGTACTGTACTGCACCATACATACCCACCCACCTACCTTACCAGGGGCAATAGGAACCGCACACGCGTGCGCGCAAACGCGTTTGCAGACCCATGGAGCAGGAAAAAGGAACAAGGCGCGACTCTTCATGTAAACATGGGCAGCAAAACGCGAGCGCGAGTAAGGTAGAAGAAAACCGCCCGGTGCCTGCCTGTCCATACCCTGTCCCTCCCCCACCAATCATTCCCCAAGCGAGTCAAATCGAATCAAAAGTAAAGTGAAGAGAAGTGAAGTGAATTAATGTCTCGGGAGACTCAAGGTGAGGAGAGATGAATAATGAAGCTGAGAGGAAAGGAAGGTTACCAAAGGAAGCAGCCCCCCAATCTCACTCAAAAGTACAATAGAGCCTTCGCTTGTTCCCCAGAAGGAGGAAAGACTCTGAAGCTAAAAGATAAAAATAAAGTTTCAGGAAATAGGATTAAAAGCAGAGCAGCCGACCCAATCTTATCACCTCTCTCCCCCGACGGGGACCGACAAACAGACAGGCAGATAGATGGGGAAAGTAGTAGCAACTACCCGACCAACTAAACCTAAACTTGTGCGACGAAAAACGTATTGTTAAGAGAATAAAATAGAATCAATAAAGCCTATCCCGAAGTACTGAAAGAGAAAAATGTTAACGGAAATGACAAAAAGCCAACCCAATCCTCCTTTCCCTCCCCTCAGCATATGAATAAGTTTGAGAAGGAATAGCTTCCCGCTCACCGAGGAAAAAGGATAAAAGCATAACAAAGCACCAAATCACGAATCCCCCCCCCATATAGAATACATAATTAAGGAAAGGGAGAGAGAAAGAGAAGCGTGGCAAGTAAACAAATCAGCAAAAATCGAAAATTAAAAAAAGAAAAGAAAAGAAAAAACTCCCTTGACCATAATTGCGTGATTGTAAAGGTTTCCCCAGCATGCTCCGTTCCCCACACATCCATTCAGACTCTACCAGGGCCGGGTGGTGGCAGCTGAAGAGGGAAAACGAGTCGGCCCATATCTTTCATTTCTTTTCATGCAGTTCATCCGATGTTTCCCTTCATCCCCCATCGCCATCCTCAAATCCCATCAATCTCGAACAATAGCGCACAAGGAGATTCGGCGGGGAAAAATTAGAACCTCATTTCCCCTAGTCTTTTCTTCTTTCTTTTCTCTGTTTTTTTTTTGTTTCTTGTTTGTCGCCCCGCCCCCAACTCGTTTTTCCCCGGAGCGATCATTCATCATCCTCTGCATCGTCATCATCATCGTCATCGGCCACCTCGCTCTGCTCGCTCTGCCCCAATTGCTGCCTCGTTTTTTCATCATCCTCCTCCTCCTCATCGCCGCCACCCTGCTTCTTCTTCAACTCCCTTTCCCGCGCCTTCCTGGCCTCAGTCTCGGCCTTTGTGGGTCTTCCCCGCCTCCTCTTAACCTGGCCATCCGGGCCAACGATCACGTTGCTCGTGGTCTTGGGAACGTAGGGTTTCGGTTTGGGCAGTATTTCCCCTCTCGCTTCCGCTGCCTTCCTGGCTTCCGTCTCGGCCTTTGTGGGGCGGCCACGCTTTCGCTTGGTTATGGGCGCCGGCATCATGGCGGCGGTGCTGCTCTGTCCCACGCTCGGGATGCTCGTTTGATCGTACCCCAGTTCCTCCCTCGCGCGTTTTTTGTTACCTGACGGAGGGGGGGGGGGTGCTGTGCGACTTCATCATGGTGAAGATGGCTTGTGCTTGTGTTTTTGTCCGCCCTATTATTCCCTCGCGAGCAAACTTGATTAGCCTTCCCGAATCCCTTCCATGTAGAAACCAGCGTCCATTCCCCCGCCACCTCCCCATTCTCCTCCACCTCCCCCCCCCCCCCCCTCCTCCGCCAATCCCGGTCCAGCCAGTCCCGGACAAGCAAAGCGGACGAGGACGAAGGAGGACATGATGAAAACGGGGATAAAGGAGGAAACACCTGTAGGAAATTCGATAATGCGCCAGTTGGGACTGGTGTTCTGCTTCGCGATCTCTAGTAGAAGGTGTATCTATCAATCACCATCACTCCCATTAGCCCAACCGCCAAACACAGCACATGCATCAAAAGCAAACAAGGCAAGAGAACAAAGCGGAGGGAGAATGGCAGGGATAGGAGAGGAAGGGGGAGAGGAAGAGGAAGAGGAAAAAGAAGAAGACCTTACCTTCTCTGCGTCACTCCAAGGAGACCCTGCCTTGTCGCGAGCCATGCAAACGTCTATAACCGCTTCTCCCGCCGAATGGCCAAAGTAGGGGTGGGTGGAAATAGCGCAAAGGCGAACAATACCCTCCGGAAGAGGATCGAAGAGGGAGGAAGGGGGAAGGGAAGGAGAAAGAAGGGGAAAAGAAGGGAAGGCACGAGGAAAGAGGTGGGGAGGGAGGCAATTGATATGTAGATGTATTTGTTTCCTTTATGCACACTTGCTCAGAGAGGTGAAAAGAGAAAAAAAAAAAAAATAGAAAAGGAAGGAAGGAAGGGGGAAAAAATAAAAAGATTAAATGGATGGGAGGGGAGCGTTTACGGTTGAAAATATGCTGCTGGAATGGGGAAAGAATGGAGGAAAGAAAAGAAAGGAAAGAGAGAAGAAG